TGAGGGGCCATGTGGAGAACGACAAGGTGGTGCTACCTAGGCATCCCACAAAGACCGCATATGAGTGCGTGGTCAAGGTGAACGGCAGCGAGGCCTTCACCCTGATCGACGGAGGTTGCACCTCGTCGATCGTATCTCCAGAGTTTGTAGCTCGAGCAGGACTCAAAGCTACACCTATCACACCGCTGGCGGTCAGCTTACTCGATGGAAGTAAGCGCGTCTGTTCCAAACAAGTACGACTTGATGTCGTCATTGCCGATTCACTTCTTACAGCATCCTGGAGATGTTTCGTGGTACCATCGGTCCACCATTTAGTATTAGGGTTAGACTGGCAGGAGACAGCTCGCCTGTTGTACGACTGGAGTCACCGCCAACTGATTTTCCGCCGGCCGCGGATCACAAGTACTCGGCGGCGACCGGTACGTACAACTGCGCGCGTTCGACGAGGAGCGCATGGGGCGTTCAGCCTAGTCTCCATGCTGTCCCTGCTCAAGGACGCCCAAGCGTCCCGCTCCGAAATCTCCAGCTTTACATGGGACGACCTCGATGCCATGATCCAGGAGACCGCCGCCGATTCGACCATGCAACTGTCAAGTGCCGCTGCGGGCGACGCCGACGTTGCCCCAAAGCTGACGCCCACCGAGTTGGTGCCATCTGAGTACCACGAGTTCCTGGATGTGTTCAGCCCAGTCGAAGCAAGCCAGCTGCCCCCGCATTGACCTTTCGATCACAAAATTGAACTCGAGCTTGGTAAACAGCCTCCATTTGGGCTGCTCTATCCGCTCTCGGCCCGCGAGCTCCAAGAACTTTGCGAGTACCTGGATACGATGCTTGCCAATGGGTTCATCCGGCGATCCAATAGCCCCGCCGCCGCGCTGATCCTGTTCGTGCCAAAGAAGGATGGGTCGATGCGGCTATGCGTAGACTATCAAGGTCTCAACGCCGTGACGGTCAAGGATCGTTACTTGATCCCGCTGATCGACGAACAGCTCGACCGCCTCGCTCGCGCCGTGAAGATGGCCAAGTTGGACCTCATGGGAGCTTACAATCTCCTGCGCATCCGCGAGGGCGATGAGTGGAAAATGGCGTTCCAAACTCGATACGGGCTATACAAATACCTCGTCATGCCGTTTGGCCTGTGCAACGCGCCGTCCACGTTCCAAGCGCTGATGAACTATGTCTTCCGGGATATGCTGGACATCACCGTCCTGATCTACCTGGACGACATCCTCATCTACACTGGCGAAGGCGTAGATCACGACGCCGTCGTTCGGACAGTGTTGGGCCGGCTGCGAGAGTACCGGTTGTTTGCCAAGGCTAGCAAGTGCGAGCTCGACGTGGAGGAGGTCGAGTATTTGGGTTTCCTGGCATCCACCAAGGGTGTGCAAATGGATCCGAAGCGAGTTCAAACCATCAACGATTGGCCTGCACCGCGCAACGTCCACGAGCTACAGGTGTTCCTTGGCTATGCCAATTATTACCGGAGATTCATTCCCGCTTACTCCCGAGTAATAGCCCCCCTCACCGACTTACTGAAAGGAAAGGCGACGGGACCGATCGAATGGCGGGATCTGCAACAGCGTTTGTTCGACTCGTTGAAGCGAGCTCTCACGCACGAACCCTTGCTTCGCCACTTTGACCCGGCCCTGCCGATCCTAGTAGAGACCAACGCTAGCGATCATGCTATCGCCGCTACACTCAGCCAGCCACGCCAAGAGACGCCGGCCGACTCCAAGGAAACGTGGCACCCCGTGGCATATCGATCTTGGAAGTTGAATTCCGCTCAACGCAACTACGAGATCCATGATAAGGAGCTGCTTGCGATCGTCGATGCCCTGAGAGAATGGCGCCAATACTGCCTTGGGACGCAGGAACAGATTTGTATCCACACCAACCACAAGGGCCTTGAATACTTTGCTACAAAACGGGCACTCACGGCGCGTCAGGCACAATGGAGTCTCCTGCTCGCCGACTACCATTTCGACATTCGGTACAAGTCCGGCGCGCAGTGTAAGGTCGACGGTCTCACACGGCGACCGGACATGCACGACGGACCCAACGCACATAACGAGCTCAACGAACGTGTGTTGCTGCCGGGGTTGCGTGCCTCAGCCGGGCAGATTCTTGTCAACGGGTACGATGAGTTGCTGGAACAAATCCGTCGGGAAACGCGGGCCTTAGCCGCCGAAGTCAAACGGGTGGTAGCGTTCGACACGACCAGCCAATTGTGGAAGCACAACCACGCGGTCTACGTCCCGCCGGGCCAACTCCGAGACGAGGCTCTGCGCATGAGTCACGATACGACAGCGGCAGGACACGGTGGCCCCCGGCCGACGTTGGAAATATGTCGGCGCCTGTTCTACTGGCCTACCATGGCAGCGTACGTCACCAACTATGTACGCACGTGCCCCTTGTGCCAACGGAACAAGTCGCGCTGTCACAAACCCTACGGCCTATTGCAGCCACTGCAAGTACCGCAACGTCCGTGGGGATCGATATCCTTAGACTTCATCGAAGGATTGCCACCGTCGGGCGACCCCGCATACGATAGTATACTGGTCGTGGTGGATCGTCTCACCAAACATGCTGTGTTTGCGCCGTGCCACAAAACGACGGGAGCTGTCAATACCGCTGTCATCTTCATGAATCATGTGCTGCCAGTGTTTGGCGCCCCGGACGAGATCGTCTCTGACCGTGGCCGCCAATTTGTATCGGTGTTCTGGATGTTGTTTGCAAAACTGTTAGACGGGTCAGTCGCCCTAAGCACTGCTTACCACCCGCAGACCAACGGGCAGACCAAGCGAGTCAACCAGAGCCTCAAACAGTACCTCCGGATGTACACAAACAAGGCGCAAGACAATTGGAGTTCCTTGTTACCAATGGCGCAGTTTGCCTATAACAATGCGCCCCATTCGGCGACGAAGATCTCTCCTGCTTATGCGATACTGGCGTTCCATCCGAAGGTGTTCCCATCCACGACACCGGCTGGCGTGCATGACAGCCGCGCCGCGGCGTTTGTACAGGATCACCAATTGCTGTATGACCATTGCCAGCGCAAAGTTGAGGCAGCGCGCGTCACGTACTCTCGTTTGTACGATGCCAAGCGCCGGGACCTGATGCTCCAGGTTGGCGACCAAGTGCTCTTACGGACGACCAACCTGCAGCTGGGCCAGCCCTCGAAGAAGCTGAGCCCCAAGCTCATCGGCCCGTTCCCGATCCAAGCAAAGGTGGGCCGAGCAGCGTACCGCCTGCAGCTCCCCGCACGCTATCGGTGCTGGCCGGTGTTCCACGTCAGTCTACTCAAACCACTCCCCGCCGCCGCCGATCCGCAACACCGTGCCACGGCCTGGCCCTCCGATGCGCACTGGACGGTCCACGACGTCCGTGACAGCACGCAAGAATATCAGGTCGACCGCATCATGTCCGCCCAAAAGACGCCGGAAGGCCTAGAGTACCGCGTTCGATGGGCCGGATATGACGAGTCCAACGATACTTGGGAGCCAGCAAGTCACCTCGAACACGCACAACAGGCCATTCACAATTTCGAGGCATCACACCCGCAAGCACCGCGCAACTGATTCATTTCAAGACCTCCAATCAGTGTTGACGCTTGCCACGGCCGCCCTTGCCGCTCTTCCTCTTCTTCGCCTGGACGCGCCTCGCAACCTCGATGGTTGGCGAGCCTGCTGCCACTGCCAACCGAGTTGTGGGCCCCGCCAAACCACTGCCGACAGCGCGCGCCTTGCCCTTGTCCGTGATTGGGGGGGTCCCCAAGCTGTCCTCCAGCTCGTCAATTTCCTCGTCCTTGTCGATCTCGCCGTCCTCGTCGCTGCCTCCAAGCAAGATCGGGCTCGTTCGTCTGGTACCGACAACGAACGCGTCTCCCTGACGGCCAATCACAGACGGCTGGCCAGTGCGAGCGACAAGCACAGTGTCGCCGGGTGCAGTCACGGGACCGGTCGAGTCCATGCCGGCGTCTCTGCCGCGATCCCAGGCGCAAATTTGTTGAGCGTAGCTAATGTGGCGCTCCGCGGTGATGAGACCGGGTTGAGCAGCATCATCTTGAACCAGGCAATACTCAGCGTACTCGATGGACTCCAACTCGACGTGCTGGTAGAGGCGGAGGGCGTCGTTTGACGATAACATCAGAACAGTTCTCTCCGCGGTCTTGATGGCGTTGAGCAACTCCAACGGAGCGTGGCCGCGGGCAAGAACGGCAAAAAGCGCATTAGCCAACTTGTCGCGGTGTTCCACAGCGTCAACAAATCGCCCTCGTTGACCACGCCGAGCGTTCAAGTTGTGGTATTCCGTGGAACGACGGCCGTGAGCCACGGCCAGAGATGTGTCATGTACGAAACGGGAAGGAGGCGGCTCCTCAACGGCTGCCACGCTTTCTTCCTGCGGCTCCTCACGGGGACGTTTCTGTGGCGATCCGCCGTCCTCGACCGACAGATCCGCAACTTGTTTGGTGATACGATCGGTGCGGGGCGTGGCGCTCATTGCGAGAAGATGGTCAGGTACTGGTGGAGGTGTGTAATGCTGCTCCGACGCTAGTTGTAGCTCCGACAACAAATCGCCTGCATTGATGTCCACAGCTGTGGGAAACGCCGCCTTCCACCTGTTAAACTCCGTACGGGAACTGCGGCAGAGATCAGCTACGCCGTCGCCGCACCCTGCCAACCCACTCACTTCGTCACAATAGGCTCCGCGTCGCCGATGTTCTTATCAAACGGGGTCGAAAAAGTCTTGCCGTTCTGCTTCGTGACGCAGGGACGTTTCCCGCAGTGGCAGCATAGACACAAAGTATGGTTGTACTCCGAGACTGTGCCGCGGATTGGACGCCAACACGTCTGCTTGGCCGCGATGCAAGCGTCGCACGCAATCTGGCTGGAGACACAGTACGAAAGCAATCGAAGGTACTCGATCTGCGCGACGCCGTCAGCCGCAAGTTCCATCGCCTGCCGCCGTGAACACTCACACCCTTTGCCACAATCTGGCGTCCCCGATTGGTTTGGTAGCCCGCAAAGCCACGCTCCTCGTTTGCAGCCGCCCACTCATAATCCTTGCCGAGCCGCCAGATCTTTGCGGCGAAGCGGTCAACCGCGGCGGTCATTGACTTTTCGGCCTCTTGAACAACGGCACGACGAGAGCTGGACTTTTTCGATAGGGGAAGTTGGTTTTGTTTGGGTTGAATGGACTGACGGTTAAACGACGTTAGGATGGGGGTCGTAACGCAACTTGTGATGGTTATCGCCCACCGACGCCGCCAACTGCCCACGACC